TTGCTATGTATTTTTTACTATCATATCTTCAGTTTGACCTAGACCAAGGCCTTCTGTGATCTAATTTTTTAAGCAAATAAAGGCCCATACAGTTTCTGGTAAGAGGCGATTTCTAGTTTTGCTGATCATTAAGCGTGCTAAAAAAATGTTTCTTACAGGGAATACTAGTAGCTTGAATAGTTAGATAGTTCTTTGCAAGCCTTGAAAGAATTGGGTATCTTGTTTGATACGTTTTTAACCATGATAAAGGATCAGTATTTTCTTCTAGAGGAAGTTCTAGATAATTGTTTAATTCTTCAAAGGAGTTTTGATGGCTTATTTTGTTGACGATATACCCTGACTTTATCAAAATAGGACTTGGAAGATGATTTATTAATAGATAAAGTTTGATTATCATTGTCATTAATAAATTGATATGGTTGAATAATAAGTTGAAGTCTTTGTTTTACTAATTCAGCTTGATCTGATGAAAAATTAGTTAGTTTAGATCAAGGGTCTAAAATAGCAGGAATTGCTGAATGAATATCAAAATAATGATTTTAATATTCTTTTAATTTTTCATAAATAGCAGATGTAACAGGGTGACTAGAATTAGGTTTCAAGTTTAGTAGTTATGCTAGTTAATGCTACCTGAATGTCACTAACAGTTGGATGAGAAGCTGAGGACAAAAAAATAGTGGCTTCATATATTGGCTGCAGGATAGTTAATAGATCCTATAAAGAATAGTAATTTTTTTTTATTTTATATTTGAAAAAGATATTTTATAACTTATTAATACTTACACACATTTTATTCCATTCGTTCGAATTTAGATATAAATCTTCAAGCTCTGATAAATTATTATTTACAAGAAGTTGCACCATTTCTTTTATTCTTAGTTGTCGCTCAATCATCATATAGACAGTGTTGTATATAGGATGTGTTTACACTATGTAAAATGTCCAATATCCAAGATTGTTCAAAATCGTCCAAGCCTATGTTCCATGTTTAACTAATTAATAAAGTAATCTAAAAAATATGTATAATTATATATTTTTTTAGGTGCTGGACTTATTGGTGAAAAAATTAAAATAGATTATCTTAATAAAATTTTGAGT